ACTATATCCCAAAGACTTTCTAAATCTCATCCTTTCTACATTTCCCCTGCTTTATTTCCATTGCTGAAAATTACATATGGTTTAGTTTACCCCACCCTTTCAAATTTTCTCCTAACAGAGTTACACCTACATTTACCACAAATTTATGTAAGCTCTGTTGATGGTGTTGATAGTTGTCTAAATGTTGTGACCTGGTGTGTAGAGAAGGGTCCTAAAAGTGTGCTTTACAGATTTAATTTCATCTAGGACCTGTCCCTCGGAGACTGAGAGAAAAGCTGAAACAAATAGTTGTGTTCTGGATGTTAGAAAGGGCAGATAAAAAGATAGATAAGACATAGGAAAAGTTCAGTACTTCTTGATGACAAGCATGGATGCTGTTGGAAATAAACTCTTGAGGAGTTTTATGCATTGCTAGAGGGCAGAAATCAGCATTATCATTCTCTTTTCTACTTCAAACTATTACTATTTACTGCCTATTTACCACATGCCTTCTGAGTGTTTTACATGAAATAGTTCATTTAATCCTTGTAACAACCTCACAAGGAAAGTAATTATTCCTCCCATTTCAAATCTAAAAAATTGAGGTCCAAGAGGGAAAGTAATTTTCTAGGGTCCCTCAGCTGGTAAGTAGCAGAGTGTGTCGGGTAGAGTGACTCTAGAACCAAAGCTTTTTACATACCCTGAAAGGATGTCTTACAAACTTGATATGTAGACATGCCTCTTCAGTCTTCATGGCTGGCTAATTAGCTGTGACCCCCTGAAGAAAAAAATGAAGGTGCATTTGAAATCATTCCTTCCTCCAGCTATCACTCACTTAGCAGTCACTCACCATTTCTTCCTGGATAGAGACAGATACAGAAAGGTCAATCTTGCAGAATCCATTCTGCCTCATTAACTAAATGGTCACTCTATAGCAAACTTAAGGATTCAGGTATTTGTGGTACAACTAAAACTATGTAGATCCTAAATGAAACTTAAGGGGGGGGGGGAGATTTGCCAGAGACAAATGGAATCATCTACTAAAAAATCTGCTGCTAGCTTGATTTCTTCTGAAGTTAAATATAATTAACCAATTACAGATATGATATGTAAAGGCATAGTTTTGACTATAAACAATGCTTCTCTCTCACATTGTGGAGGGTTTCCTAGCCATACACAGCTAAGTCAATATTAAGATTTTATTTTCTTCTTCATTCTACCTCTTTGCCTTCTGCACTTCTGTCTACATTTACATCTTTGTTATTTTCCTATATATGTGTATGTTCAGCAGTGTAGAAATGATTCCAGGGGTTCCTGTGTCAACTGTCTGCCTGTCTACACACTGAGATGCTTTTTTTCTTATCCTTTTAAAAGCCCTTAGGAAATACAAATCAAAACCACACTGAGCTACCACCTTACACCAGTGAGGGTGGCTAAAATTAACAACTCAGGGAACAACTGATGCTGGCGAGGATGTGGAGAAACAAATGCAAACTGTTGGTAGGAATGCAAACTGGTACAGCCACTCTGGAAAACGTGTGGAGGTTCCTCAAAAAATTAAAAATAGAACTACCCTATGACCCAGCAATAGCACTACTAGGAATTTATCCAAAGGATACAGGAGTGCTGATTCATAGGGGCACGTGTACCCCAATGTTTACAGCAGCGCTTTCAACAATAGCCAAATTATGGAAAAAGCCTAAATGTCCACCAACTGATGAATGGATAAAGAAGACGTGGTATATATATACAATGGAATACTACTTGGCAATAAGAATGAAATCATGCATTTGCAGCAATGTGGATGGAACTGGAAGGTATTACGCTGAGTGAAATAAGTCAGAGAAGGACAGCTATCGATAATATGTTTTCACTCATATGTGGATCTTGAGAAACTTAACAGAAGACCATGGGGGAAGGGAAGGAGAAAAAAAAAAGTTACAAGCAAGGAGGGAGGGAGGCAAACTATGAGACTCTTAAACACAGAGAACAAACTAAGGATTAATGGGGGGAGGTGGGAGAGAGGGGAAAATGGGTGATGGGCCTTGAGGAGGGCACTTGGTGGGATGAGCACTGGGTGTTGTTGCATGTAAGCGATGAACTATAGGAATCTACCCCAAAAACCAAGAGCGCACTTTACACACTATATGTTAGCCAATTTGACAGTAAATTATATTAAAAAATAAAATAAAAAGCCCTTAGAATACAATAGCTCCGTCACTTCTTAGCACTGTGACTTTGGCCATATTACAACCTCTCTGTGCCTCAGTTCCCTCAAGTATTAAATGTATTTCATTCGTACTCACTTAAGACACGGAAAAGGCTTGGCACGGTGACTGATACAAAGTAAACACTAAATACATGTTAGCTATTGTTAACTTGTGGAGGAACTGACTTCTTCCTTGGAAGGAAGGGAAGGAAACAGAACCCACATTTAAAGACTTTTACGGTTGGTATAGAGGGTCTGAGATATTTAAAATTGAAGTCCCTTATTTAATAAGAGCTAATATGTATTTATCAATTATCACATGCCAGGTATTGTGCTATGCCCATTATATATATCTATAATGTACATGTATATCTATATAGAGATAGATACAGTCATTTAATCTTTGTTATCTCTTCAAATCACTAAAATATATTTTGGAGAAATTAAGCAATTTGCCTAAACCCCCTATTTAGTAGGAAATGAGCCTAGATTTATATGCTGGTTCATCAAATATGTATTCTTATGCACTTAAGTTAGCAAAGCAATAATGTCTCTTACACTTTAATAGCTATCATTTTCCAGAGTTTTTCCATGTGCCATGACCATTTAAGTGAGAAGTTGCTCATTGTGGAATGTGCCACATGATTAAAATAAGTTTTTTCAGTGGTTCCAACATTCTGGACTTAACAGATCAAAAATTGAAAATTTAACATAAAATTGTTATTTGTAAATTATTCCTTTACATTAAATATATTCAGTTTTAGGGGGGAAATCACTATATTGCTATTGTTTTTTTTCTAAGAATTCATACAAATATCAATTATATATCAAATAAATTAAATAATACACACAGGAGTTAGAATTTGGGACCCCTGACTTCTTGGCCAAATTTTTAATAACATTTACAAAAATTCAGATATACTTCACATACCATAAACTTTATCATTTTGAAGTGTACACTCAGTAGTTTTTAGTACATTCACTATGTTTTTGCAACCATCATCACTATCTAGTTTCAGAATATTTTATTACCCCACAAACCCTCTATCTATTAGTAGTTTGTCCCAAATTCCGCCCTTCCCCATCTCCAGGTAGCTGTTAATCTTTCTGTCTCTATGAATATGTCGTAAGGCAAATCTTTTATCTCTGCACAAAAATGGCAATCTCAGACCTGTGATTTGTTTTTTATTCCTTGCTGCCTAAATCAAACTGCCTGCCCAAAGCTTTACCTTGGTATGTTGTTCCCAGTGGCATATGTAATATATATATGATAGAAGGCATGAGAGTGTGAAATTCTAAGATAGCTCATCAAGGTTAGCAAATGCTGCCATATGTATGGATTTTATTTTATTTCATTTCATTTATTTATTTTTGAGAGAGAGAGAGCGAGCGAGCAGGGGAGGAGCAGAGAGAGAGAGAGAGAGAATCCCAAGCAGACTGCATGCTGTCAGCAGAGCCTGACCCAGGGCTCAAACCCATGAACTGTGAGATCATGACCTTAGCCAGTATCAAGAATCGAATGCTTAACCGGCTGAGCCACCCAGGTGTCCCAGTATGGATTTTAGTAAGAAGAAATATACTACATTCTTTCTACATTTCCACTGTCTACATTTACTTACAGTTTTAGTTTACTTCCAATTTACTTCCAATTTTAGATTTTCCTCATCTTTTCTCTTCTTTCTCTTCTTATGGCATCTATTTATATAATATGTCAAATTACATACACTTTGAACTTGAGGACTGCTAATGTTTTTAGTAATGAATAGAAATCAAAATAGTATTATAATACTCATCTTATTTTCCCCTTAATTTATATCTAATTGTAGGATCCCAAATTCTAGTCCAAATTTGTGCTATATTTAGTTGATCTGTACACCCATACACTCTGTTCATTTCTCAGATAATTTCCTTTTAAGGTAGACATTCAAATGTATTGCTATGTTCCACTGTGATTTATCTGTTTACATGTCTCTGAATTCCTGGAGGGTAAGGACTTTGTCTATACATCTTTGATTTCCAGTATAATGCCTAGTGCATGACCTAAACTATTGTTGTTGAATGAAGGAATAGGATTGAAATATACAAACACTGTATCAAAATTTATAATACTCAATTACATGTTATATTACATAATGTCCATCTAGAATATTACATACCCATGTAACAGATCTATATAGTTCACAGCTACATTAAAAAGTTTTTAATATTTGAAAAATTCAAAATGATACATTTTGAACACCATAAAATGTTACATGTATCGAATTTTACATAGTATTATGTTATAATAACCTGTAAACTAGTTATTACACACACAGAAACACACTGTTTAACACAGTATTCACTGCGTAATTATAAGATGGAGACACTGAATAATGTAAAAGTTTGTGGAGATTAAAGTCAGGTAAACAAACCTGTATTTGGATTGTCTAGCACTGCCTTACTGATTTTGCCTATTTCTTTCTGAACCTGAATTTTCTGTGACTGGAAATATTTAATATCAAACCGCTTAGGGAATTGGTTTAAGGATGGAGCTAATCCATATTAAGGGCCTGACCTTTAGGCACTTCAGGAATTTTAGCGGCCACTTTATGCCTCAGACGTGAACTAAGTAAAGGTGTTTAATTTTTTAACACGAGTCTCTCTTCCAGTGAGGAAAACCTACCCGGACGCCAAATTTGTCAATTCAGAGAGTCCAGATAAAACGGTAAATGCTCAAAATAATCCGCCTCTAACTCTGACGGACTGCTAAACCCGCAGGTAGCGCTGGGCGGACTTCCACTATCCCAGCATTCCGCGCGCCGCTCCCGTTACTCTTCTATCCCGTCTCTATGGTAGAGCCGGTTTCAGAGGCGGCAGTGGTGTTGGCGACTTCGGTGAAGAAAAGTGAGAGTTCCAACTTTGCTCTTGGCCCGGGAGGGTTTTGGCGCGGAGCGTTGTCATGTCAGAGAAAAAGCAGCCAGTAGATTTGGGTCTCTTGGAGGAGGACGACGAGTTCGAGGAGTTCCCTGCGGAAGGTAACTGGCTGGGCCCGGGCCTCTGGGCCGCGCGGACGGTGACTCAGGCCTCCGGGTAGAGTCGGCGCGCTAGGCGCGCCGGGCGCTTGGGTCGGCCTCGAGGCGCCCACGGGAAGTCTGGACCCCTGCGGCCGGCTCTGTCGAAGCTGTGCACGCGCTACCCTCCGTGAGAGCTGCTTCGGGTTCGGAGTGTCACGGTGGGCCTCACCGGTGAGCGTCACCGGTGAGGCTGAATGCCTTCTGCTTCCTCTTTGGGAGGAGCCACGGTGACCTGGGTTAGCGCCGTGTCTGGGATGGTTGGTCCTTCTGCTCTTCAGTCGGGTGACCCGCCACCTCGTTCCTGTCTGTATAAACCTCTTTGCTCTTTATTTTCTCGCAGTGTAGCAGCCTGCCTTTGTCCTTAGACAAGCCAGAATTAAATTGTTGTTCCCGGTTAGGCCAATTTTGCTTACTTTTAGGACTTTACAAATGAAGGCTGTGAAGAAGGATGGGAGGATCAAGTGTTGGGTAATACACGTTATTGCCTTATCCTTGTTCCTCATTTTGGATCACTTCAAACTAACAGAAGTTGAAGGATCTGTAAGACCCTAAAACGTGTACGTTTTTATTAGTTTAATGGTTACTAAGAGAAACTGTAGGTTTTTCATTGTAAATAATAGCAAATAGCTAACATTTATTCGGTGGTTACTTGTCTAAGTGCTTTGCTTGTATTAGTTCATTTTCATAGTTCTGGCAATTATTAGGTACTGGTGCTACCATTTTTCAGATAAAGAAATTGAAGTTTGGAACTATTTAAAGAAACTTGGCCAATGCCATAGCTGGCTAGAAATGATGGACACCTGGCCCAGTTGACTCCAGCACTCTTAAATCTTTTGATGTACTGCTTCTGTTTCTTTACCAGATCGTTGTTACCAGGTGTGTTTTCAGAATTATTTGCTTTATCGGCTGGTTACGTATAGGATAAATGCTTGTAAGAAAAGACTACTGTTGGGTAACCTTTTTGAAGGTGATGGGAAGAGAATTGGTTAATGGTGTACAAATCTGTTAAGCAGTTACTGCTTCACTAAAGTTGTGTTTAATTGTACCCCATCGTGATTCTATTGTGCATAAAACCACATAGCTCGAACATTTGTTCTTTTTATTTATGATGTACTCTATTATTTTCCTTAGAGAAGAAGACATTAGTGTGCATAGGACATAAACTAACCCAAGTCACATTTCAATTATGGGATTCATTATATATTGAGGGGATTGTTTTGATAGTGGATTTATCTGTCCAGACATGTTTTCTGTACCTCACTTTAATGTTGGTTCATAATCTAACATAGAGCCATACAGTAAAAAAAACTCACTTATTGAGGACAGGATCCACTTTTTACTCAAACTTCATATTTCAAATAGTATTTATCCATTGTTTATCACATACAAGGTAGAATGTTAGGCATTTTATTTACATTTTATAGTCTAATTATCACCATATCTGGGAGGAAACTGTGGCTTAGATTTAAAAAGTTTCCATTAAGTAGCCAAGCCAGAATCTGAAAGGTCTAAGTGACTCCCCAACACAAGCTTTTATGTTTACCTTTAGCAAAGTACGTGTCACATAGTAGGTGGTTAATAAATATTTCTTGAATGAATGAAGTTGAGAATTTACTACATCGCAAGCTCTAGAGATAACTGTGTACCTAATGATACACATGATTTTTCTCAGCAACTTTCATCAGTTTTGCAGAATATGTAGTTTGTTCTTATTCTAAGTTTATGTTGTGTGAGCAGCAATTTGTTCAGTTTGGTAGCTACATAGTAAAAAAGTCTCATTGAGAGGAAAAGCAGAGAATGTTTTTGTTTTTGAAGAGGAAGGCCTCTCACAACAGACTAGTTTATTAGCATTAAGTAACTCACCATTTATTGGTCACCTTATAGAATATTTGCTGTCTTCAGGTTTGAATGTGTAGAACCTAATTCATTTAGGAATTTTTCCATTTAGAATGAGAAATAACATTGCAATGCCATTGTTCTGTTCAGTTTTCTATGTTTCTCTTGTTTATAATTTAGACAGGTTTTCTTTTCATGTTAATTTGAATTGAGATTTTGCTGGATACAAAATTACCCCACTAGGTGAAATCAATCAATATTTACTAATAAAAACTGCCCTTTAAAAAACAAAACTAAAAGAAAGAAAAACTTGGAGAAATATCATCAAAGAATTATTTCTCTTTTGAAACTATGTGTGTGTGTGGCGGGGGGGGAGGGGGGCACTTAGCCATGGTTTAATCTCCATTGCTGCTTAGTGTGATCCATGCAGTTTTGGCATTACCCGGCAGCTTATTAGAAATGCAGCATCTCCGGGCACCTGGATGGTTCAGTCGGTTAAGTGTCCAACTTCAGCTCTGGTCATGATCTCACTGCTTGTGGGTTGGAGCCCTGCATCTGGCTCTGTGCTGACAGCTCAGAGCCTGGAGCCTGTTTCAGATTCTGTGTCTCCCTCTCTTTCTGCCCCTCCCCCACTCACTGTCTCTCAAAAATAAATAAATGTTAAAAAAAAGAAAAAAAAAGTGCAGCATCTCAGTCTAGAACTACTGAATTGGTTTAGACTTTTGCAGTCTAAATCTTCCTAAAAGATTTGTATGCATTTAAAGTTGGAGAAACACCCAAATGGCCTATTTTGAATATTTTAGTATTTAAGTTTTCAGTTCAACTATTATGTCCACTTCTCAAGTTCTCTGCCTTTTTTGGAAATTGTCTTTCTTGTGATTGTCCTTACAGGAAATGTACCATTGACAAACTCACTAACAGATACAACTTAAAATGGCCTGTAATCATCTTTTCTATGTATAGGAGGTCTGATTTTCAGGGGCCTCGTTTCCTGTCTGATCCAGAAAGTGGATGATAACCATTGTCTAGGGCAGAGACTGTTACATGAAAGCCATTACTGATGTTTGATTGGTTTGACTAATGGATTGTCCATCTTTTTGGGGAGTGTTGTTGGCTACATCTCATCCTGGATAAGAACTTGTTTGGTAGAGTGTCATTCAGTCATTTTAAGAAAGGGGAATTTCTATTTTAAAAAGGAAACTAAGATAATATGTTTTCATGGAGGGCTCTTTGTTTCTTCTGAACAGTTCTTCAATGTGAGGTATAGCTGTGGGAGGAGGAGGGTAGGGGTGATTCTCTGAAGGTACAAAGAAACAATTGCTTTCTTTTTTTTTTTTAACTTTTTACTTTTAGTCTGTAGATCTGTGTTACATTGGCAGTTCACAGTTATTCTAATTGATGGGTGTGTAATCTGGTCCTTAAGCAAAAACCGTTTAAAAATCCTGTTTAGGGGGCGCCTGGTAGCTCGGTCTGTTAAGCCTCTGACTTCTGCTCAGGTCAAGATCTCAAGGTTTGTGAGTTTGAGCCCCATATCCGGCTCTGTGCTGACAGCTCAGAGCCTGGAGCCTGCTTTGGAATCTGTCACTCCCTCTCTGTCTGCCCCTCCCTCCCTCTCCCTCTCTCACTCTCTTTCTCAAAAAATAAATGTTAAAAATTTTTTTTTTAATCTTGTTTAGGATCTTTGTGAAATGCATTCTGCAACTTTTTGACTGTTTAAACTGATTGAGAATAGGCATATATTAAGAATTTCAACGGACTGGGTGTGATTGATTATAATTAAATTGGAAGGCTTTGGCATGGTTAGAATTTTAGAACTGGAAAGCAACTTAAAGTCTAGAGAAGATAAAACTTGTCAAGCTTATACAGCTAGGTTGGTGGTAGTAGAGCAGGATCTAAAACTGAAATACTTTATAATTTATTTGAAACTTCAAACAGTTTTTCATACCAGATATTGAAAGGGTATTAAAAATATTTTCATTAATCTCCTCCCTCTGACAATTTGAAGTGGGTGAGAGTAAAAGTGGGAAGAACAAGTGGGTGGGCCTTTAGGTTCTTTTATTCTCTTCTTTCTGTGCCAGAATTGAGAGGGTTTTTTTTTTCTTTTTTTGAGGAAATAACTTTTTAGAATATTTAAAAGGAAACTGAGTTTGCCTCCAGAAGCAATGGTATTTACAAGAAAATTCTGTTAGATTCTAAGTATTCTGTAATTTTTCTACAATCAGTGAAACTGCTCTATTATTTGATAAAATCAAGAGCAGTATGCTACCTAACTTCCTACCCTCCTTGAGAAATTGCTGACGAAGAGACTGTTATTGATGGTGATCCCCTCTGGAATAACTGAGGTACTTCACCTAACAAAGTAGAACATCTTATAGTGGTTCTTATCCAGGGAAATATTTTTGGATGTCACATTCACTTGACAGATGCAGATGTGAAATCATGATCATGACCAGAATTTAGGGGTAGAGATGAAGGATTTTAAAATGCTTGTTGTGCATAGACCAGTCCTGCACAAGAAGAATTGTCCTATGAATAATGTCACTGAGGGGCACCTGGGTGGCTCAGTCGGTTAAGTGTCCAACTTCTGCCTGGGTCATGATCTCACAGTTTGCGAGTTTGAGCCCGGCATCAGGCTCTGCACTGACAGCTCAGAGCCTGGAGCTTGCTTTGGATTCTGTCTCCCTCTGTCTCTACCCCTCCCCCGCTCATGCTCAAAAATAAATAAATGTCAATAATGCCACTGAAAAATATTTACATGGACATTGGATACCAACTGGACTAAACCAGCAATAGGATTCCTTAGAATCTTTAAAATTTTTTTTAATGTTCATTTATTTTTGAGAGAGAGAGAACCCAGAAGGGCAGAGAGAGATGGAGACACAGAATCCGAAGCAGGCTCCAGGCTATGTGCTGCCTCACGAGCCATTGGATCATGACCTGAGCTGAAGTTGGATGCTTAACTGACTGAGCCACCCAGGTGCCCCCTTAGAATCTTAAATGTAAAGGTAGATAGAACTGATACTATGTCAGATAATATACTAGTTAGTTAACTAGTGCCAAAGGGACTCTGCTATTTTCAGTTATTAAATGTAATATAATGGACCTATAAATAATACCATCACACA